TCTTATCTTCAAAAGATGAATTAAAACTAACAAACAACAGTTCTTCTCATAATATAAATGAAACAAAAACAATTTACTATAAACCAAATGATCAAGTTATTGCATGGAGTCAAAGAGATAATGGATGGTTTGCTGCAATGATTACAAGACCATCAAATAATCAAACGTATTGGGTTAGATTTGGACCTCGTGATAATCAACTTGTTTCATTAGATAAAATTAAACCATTTAGTGATATTAATTCAGTACAATTATCAACTGTAAATACTTCTAAAATAAAAATTAGAAAACTTCCTAAAGAAACAATTACTGAATTACCTAAATGGACAAAACCAAAACCTAATGATACTGAAAAAGATTTATTACTTAAAAGAAAAAAAAGGCATCAATTAAAATCTCTTATGAAGTTTGTTCTTTTTTTATTTATTTAAACAATTTTAATGTTTATAATTTAGACAACAAAAAGAAGAAGAAGATTTAGAAACAAAAAAAAATAGTTGGAAAGCATTTGCAAGTAAAATGAAAAAATAGTAGTAATAAAAAAATTTCTTTTTTGATTATTGAAGAAGAAAAGCATAAAGTGGATAAAAGTCTGTTGGATAATTTAAATCTTTTCTAATTTGTAATGTTTGTAATCCTGATTGTGCAAATAAATGAGTCATATGTTCAACTGTTCTCATTAAAGAATTATCAGAACGATCCCAATAAAATCCATCAGTTCCAACATTTTCTTTTATAATAATTATTCCACCTTCTTTTAAATGTTCTTTACATTTTTTTAACATATCAATTAAATCATCATCTCTTAAATAAAGAATTGACCATTGAATCCAAATACAATCATATTGTTTATTTAATTGTAAATTTTGCATATCACAAACAAATGCATCATTAAATGATGGAAGTATTCCTTTTAATTCTTTCGCTTTATTGACATGAACTAAACATTGGTCAGCTACATCAATATGTTTATAATAACGAGATAATACATCTTTTGTAACTCTTCCAACTCCACCTCCAAGGTCTAAACAATCTTCAATATTACAATTCATTTTAATCAAAATATTTCTTAAAAAAGTATGACTATTACTTTCATCTATAGGAATTAATTTGGTGTATCCATCAACCATTCCTTTAACACTACTTTCCATATTATCCCACACTTTTTTATCTAATTGGTACCAATCATTTTTATTAACAAGTTTATAAACTTCTTCAATACTTGAATAGACATTATTTAAACTATCACTTCCATTGAATATTAATTTCATTCTTCAATTATATTCTTAAAAGATTTTTGTTTTCATAAAAACCCTTTTTTTTGTTCTTAAAAAAAATAACTCAAAAAAAAATTTATGAATACTATCGTTGTTCTTCTATTTTTCTTCATTTCTTTACTCATAATTATTTTAATTTGTTATATCTCTTATAATTTAATTCAAATACATATAATTGAAGAAAGAATAAAACAAAAAGAAAGTGAAGAAGATGATTATTCTGATGGGGAAGACCCTAATTATATTGAACAATATCATATGCTTGGAGGTGAAGATGAATAATTTACTACATTTTTATAAATAAAAAAATCAATACTTTTTTAAAAGAAGTAAATTGAAATTAGAATGGAAAACCAAACCCATGACTTGTTAATTTTTGAATCATTTTAGGATCAATTTCATCTTTTGATTTAGATAAACTTCGAACAATATTAGATAAATATTTTCTTACAATAAATACTAATGAAAGTTCTTGAGGAACAATATCATATAATGTTATAATTTTATCAACACAATCAACTTTAATAGAATTTTGTTTAACTTCTTTATTTGCTATTTTCTTTTCTAAACTATTCATTACAAAATTTATTAAAGAAATATTCCATGATGCAAAACATGATGTTGGAGCAACTGGAAATGAAGTAATAAATACACTATGTGTAGATTTAATTAATGGAAATGCAAATGAACAAACATTTTGAGTTACTAAACTTAAATTTTCAGAATGAAGTTCTCTTTCAATTCTTTCTTTTGCTGTTTTTGTTCTTGCATCTAAGAAAATTAACATAGCTTTTTCTTCATTTGTTACTTTTTTTAAATGATTAATAATTACTACTGTTTGACGAGATGATAAAGATAAATCAAATAATCTCTTTTTTAATTTATCTACAATGTGATCAATCATTTCTTCAAATTGATCTAATGCAACATGTCCTTTTAATACATTTTTTAAATCATTATTTTTATTAAGTAAATTTCTAACATTATCATGAATTTTAATACATTCATCAAAATTCCATTGTGATAAATACACTTGAAGTAAACTTGGTGCATCTAATATGTATTTAATATCATTTCTAAGTTGTGGTATTTTACTAGTCATATCATTATTTTCACTATTTAATGAATTAGAGATATTAAGAAATGAAGATCGTTCTGTAATTAATTTATCTAATTTAGATTGTTGTTCTCTCATTTCAGTTGCATAGTGTTGATTTAATTCATCAAGTTCAGTTCCTATAGCATTAAATTGTGTATGAATTGTCATAAAATCTTGTTCAATTTCTTCTAATCTTCTAGTAATAGCTAAGAATTCTTGATAGTTATCATAAACGGCTTGTTTTAATTCATCAGATTTATCAGCAAGAAAACCTTTTAATTGTTGTAAAGTAGTATTTTCAATTTGTTGGTGAGAATGATTTTTATAAATATCGTCAATATAACCCTTTTCATTTTCTTTTAATTGTTGAATAAGTTCTTCTGCCATTTCTCTTTTTATATTTTTAAGATGAGATACAATTTTTTTAGATTATTAATATATATTTTTAGATATTCACAAAAAATAAAAATTAAAAAATTATATAAAACCCATAATTTCTTTAATTCAAAAATAATATTTATTAAATTATATAGTTGATATAAATTATTAGTAATCTTCACTACTAGCAAAATCGATCTTATCTTTCGCCTTTTACTAAAGATAACCGTGTTAGTAGATTCACTGAAGATGAAGGAATTTTTGGAGGGTCTGTTCAAGGACCAATCTTTTTAGTAATTTTAATTTTTATCTTCATCTCTTTATGAAGTAAAAACTGAAAATTCAATATTTGAATATTTAATAAATGGTTAAAAAATTATTATCAAAATTATTCTCTTATTCATTTACTTATAATGATGAATTTACACTTGAAGGAGGTGAACAGTCTTTAACAGAACAATACCGTTTTATTCATGAAACTGATAATTTTTTTCTTCAAGTTAGAAATATTTCAATTAAGGAAACAATTAATGATATTATTATAAACGAACTTCAAAGTTTTGGATTTATTGGGCCTAATGACTCTCTTTCAGTTATTGGTGATTGGAAAGATATTGTAACACCTTTTAAACTAAAATTATTCTTTTATTCAAAGCAAACACAAGAGGCAAATATGGGAATTTTATTTTTTGAATATAATAAAGTTTTCTTTGAGTTAATGTCAACTACTTTTATTTCATTTGACGAACTTATAGAAATTCTTAAAGGGTTTGATCTTTCTAATGTTAAACAATCACACAAATTAATACTTAATGGAGTTGTAACTCAAACATTATGCAAAGAAGATTTTAAAGTTAGAATTCCTAGTCATTTTAAAAGAAATGGTGCATTTTATATAGGAACTATTCAAATTTATGATGATGACATTATCAATACAATTAATCTTAGTTTTGGAAAAGATATTGTTTCATCAGAAAAAATATTTAAAAAAAGAATTGAACAAATGTGGGGGTCAATTCAAACAACAACAATTACTTTAAACTGTAATTCTATTTCATGGACAATCCTTTCATTTATTTCACCAAATAATATTTATGGAGTTAAAAATCATTATCTTGCTTATCATCAATATAACAATGCATTCTATTCAGTATGGTTTGGGTTACTTCATGAAAATGCAAATATAACTCCATTATTTACTCTTATTCTTTCAAACTATAGTCATGAACAATTAATTTTAAAAGATCAATTTCCATTATATCTTCATTTTAATCCTGAATATAGTATTTCTCTTTCACCATCTTTCCTACCAATTAATTCAGCTGATGAGTATGGTTTAATTAGTGATATTCTTCCCTCAATGTTTGTTGATAAAAAAACAATATGTAGATTTTTTATTAATGTAACACCATTAACAGGAGTTCCAAAAGAGACAGGATTAGATATTATTAATATGGAGCGATTAAATTTAAAAAATCAAAAAACAACTCAAATGATTTCTCAAAAAACTGAAAAATATGGAAAATATGATTGTTGGTGTGATATTTGTAAAACTAAAATTCAAAATGATGAAGTAAAATGTATGATAAAATATGTTTATTTTAAAAATCCAGATGCTTATGTTCGTTTTAGTTTCTCTGCACCAGAACAAACATTTAATGAATGTTATATCAACCATCATATTCCACAACTAATGGGCTCTTTAGATCTTTCTCTTCTTAAATCAAATTAAAAAAAAAATTAAATTCATCACATTTCTTTTTAGACCATTTCATTTTCTTCTTTAATATGTTTGAATACTTGATCATAACATTCAATCAGTAATTCAAATGCATTTTGAATTAAATTTAGATCATTAGCACATTGTTCCCATGTTAAGTCTGGATTTCTAACACAAGCTGGTCCAAAACAAACTGCAAGATTCATTGGACTCATTAGATTAATAGCTTTGTTGATAGAAACTAAGTGTAAAAAATCAATCAAATACCATAAACAATTTTTATTGATTGATGGAAGACTTTCAACAAATTTTCTTAATTGTTTAATACGTTCTTTTTTATCGGAACATCTACCACACTTAACAAATTCATCATATCTAAAATATGGAATAATTGGATCATCTAAAGAAGATAAGTAATTTTTACAAACAGCTGATGCAATACGAATATTTCCAAAATCAATTGATTCAGAAGTTGTATCTGACTCTAATATTTTTTTAACAGCCATCATTTCATCTTTACTTGGTGAAATTCTAAAAATTCCTTCAGTAGTAATTCCTCCATTATATCTTAAATATTGAATACTTCGAAAAAATGGAACAGGATATCTCCATCCTGATTTTAAACATGCCACACGAAGTGGGTACCCATATGTTCCACTAATTTTCATATTTAGTCCAAGTTGTGTTAACCAATTAATAAATTTTCCAAAGTCATTAAATAAAAAAATATAATTTTCTTTTTCAGTATTAATTTGAAATGATTTATTAACTTGGTTTTCTTCAAGTTTTTTCATTAAATCTCCATTTCTAATTAAAACTGCTTTTTGAATATCTATTTCAAACTCTTCTTTTTCTTTTTTTAAACATATAATTTTATTATTAATTAATGAAATACTTCCTTCATTAAATTTCCCTTTCTTTCCTTTACTATATTGAATTGGAGTACTAGATAATGAGAGTTAATAATTTTTTTTATCTTTATTAAAGAACAAACGATTCAATCATTATAATCTATCTTTTTATTTTTATTAGTTCCTTTTATTTCTAAATTTTCAATTATGAATTATTTCTTTATTTTTAAAAGTCATCAAAAAATGGTTATTATAAAAATAGTACATTTAAGAACTTACACTTCCATATTTATTATTCCAATCTATGTATTCTGCTAAATCATCTTGTGAAACTGATGGCCTTATAGTTCTCAATGAATCAATAAAATCTTTTAATTGAACTGGTCGAACTTGAGATGTATCTACATCAATAATATTCATTTCTAATGAATTAAGTTCTCGAATTGGTCCATATGCAGCATCTTTAACAAGTTCTTTCATATCACTTCCAGAATAACCATCAGTCTTCTCTCCAATACTTCTAATATCCTCTTCACTTACTTCATTTTTTACTTTATTTAATAACGTTTTAACTAATGTCATTCGTGCTTCAATATCTGGTAATGGAATATACAATCGTTTTACTAATCTTCTTCTCGCTGCTTCATCTATTTCTTGTGGTCTATTTGTTGCTCCAACTACCAAAATTCGTTCATCATCTGTTCCTGCTCCATCTAACCTAACTAAAAATTCTGTTTTTAATCTTCTACTTGATTCATGTTCACTTTCACTTCGAGCACTTAATAACGAATCTATTTCATCAATAAAAATAACACTTCTTTCATAACATGATGCAACAGCAAATAGTGCCCGTACTAACTTTTCTCCTTCTCCAATCCATTTACTTGTTAGTGCAGATGCTGATATATTAAAAAATGTTGCATTACTTTGACTTGCAATTGCTTTACCAATCATTGTTTTTCCAGTCCCAGGTGGTCCAAATAATAATAGTCCTTTTGGTGGTGCTCTTAATCCTGTAAAAATATCAGGTCGTAACATTGGCCAAATAACTGCTTCTTGTACAATTTTTTTAGCACTTTTTAATCCTGCTATTTCATCCCATGTAACTTTTGGTGATTTATCTAAAATTTCATGAACTATTTTTGTTAATAATGAAGGATCATTATTAATTAATCGTGGATCATCTAATGGTACACCATTTACATCTTCTATCCAATCTTCTGTTTCATCTCCTTTCTTTTGTTTATTAACCTTAGTTTGTTTTTCCTTATTTTCTTGAGTATTATCTTTTTTATAAGGTGGTTGAAATTTTTTCTTCGGTTTTTGTGGGTTATTTCCTTTTCTAATTTCATCTTGATATAATCTTTCTGCCGCTGTTTGAAATCCTGTCTCATTTTTGGTTTGAATTCTTTTAGGTTGAGGTGGATTTGGAACAGAATCATCAATGGTAATTTGTTTCTTTTTGATAACAGGAATCTCATCAGAGATTAATGTTTCTCGTTTTAATGGAACAGTGCCAAATTTTGATGATTCGTTTTCTCGATTATCTAATAACAATGAAACACCTTTTGTTGCAGAAGTGATATAATCTGAATTTGAAATAAACTCATCAATGTCATATGGTTTGATTAATTTCAAAAAATTACTTTTAATAAAAATTTGATATTCTTTTGTTCTTGGATCATTACACTGATTAATATTATCAACCAATGAAGCGTACTCAACATCATTTATTTCACCTTTAACAAACAAAGAATTAAGTTGGGATGCAATCTCTTCACTCATTCTCAATAAAGTGATATTTCTTAGTTTTCTTATTCCTCAATTTTTTATAGTGTTTCATATTTTTTCTAAAAAGTAAAAAAATAATTTGTTTTTTTTTATATGAGGGGTTTTAAAAATATAAAACTTAAAAATATAAACAACCCCAATGACTGACCCAACAATGCAAATTCCTGATTTTGTTCAACCTGAAACACTTAAAATGCAAGTTGAACCATCAAACAAAGATACCTATGTCGGTACAGTTTCATTTCAAGAAATGGGATTAAAAAAAGAAATCATGCAATCTATTACTGATTGTGGATTTGAACATCCATCAGAAGTTCAATCACAAGTAATTCCAAAAGCATTGTTACGTCAAGACGTCTTATGCCAAGCTAAATCAGGTATGGGTAAAACAGCTGTTTTTGTTTTATCAATTCTTAATCAAGGATTGTTCTTAGGAGACCATGTTTCTGCTATTGTTGTTTGTCACACTCGTGAACTTGCTAGACAAGTTCAAAATGAATTTGATAGAATGAAAAAAAGACTTGTTGAGTCAATTGGTAAAGACATTCAAACAGCTAGTTATATTGGAGGAAATCCAGAGTCAAATGATGTAGATGATTTAAAAAATAGAAAACCAACTATTATTGTTGGTACTCCAGGAAGATTAG